ATGTATTTTAAATCTCAATAAATACAAAGTAATTGAAGCAAAAAAGTAACAGAAAAAAGTTAGTTAATGTAAAACATGGATGACTTAATTGTTTGATAATTTTTTAAATATAGATTTTTTTTAATTTTGTTCTTTTAACATATTTGTTTACTCTTCTAAAATGTAACATTTAATCCAATGATTTTGTCACTCTTATTACTGAAATACTTTTGTTTAATCGGTTAATCGGTTCACAAGCACAAAAGCCCTGACTGGTTCAAAAGGTTAATTTAAAGAATATTTTAGTTAGATTATTTTGCTCCATTCTAAGATTATGTTGTATGCAGTTTTAAAGGTTTTTTAAATTGAATTTATTTAAAACTCAACTGATGGTAAACTATTAAAAGTAAATAATTATGATACATACTGTAAGATAGTATGCGCATAGATAAAACACAGTCCGTACTCGTTTAAAATTTTTTTTCAGATTTTTACAAGTAAAAATTTTAGAAATTTAAGCTCAGTACATATTTTGTAAACTATTGTTCAAATCGTTTCATTAATTTGGTTTGTGGAGTAAATAAACAATATAATCAACGATTGAACATTATTAATTGATAAAGGTTCAAGCGATCACTCATGCAAAATCATATAAGATCATAATCTTAATTTTCGTATACTGAGATCAATACCCATGATTACAAAATTATGAAAGCCTTCATCAAAATATTCCTCATCTTTACTGGTTATCCTTCAGTTCTCCACTTTCAGATTCATATTTCCTTAAATTTGCAAGAGGAATGATTTTGGTAAGGGACATACATTATACACTCTTGATGAGAAACTGTTTCCATAAAGAATAAGACAACTTACTCTAAAAGTAAAGCTGTAGCAAAAGATTAAACATTGATGATAAATGTATTGCTAGATCCATGCGGTTCCACTAGAATTGTGTTATGTCTTGTTATTTCTGTTATTTAAAACCACGTTTAACCATATAAAACGGTTTAATCATAAGCAATAACTCAAATAAAATAAAATCATTTATTGCCGTAAAACATACAAAACATACGTATGGCATCGTCATATTTTACAATAAATTTCTATTTACATAACTGGACACCTTAAATAAATGATACATTCGTCAACATCATACACACTTAACTCTATCAATAGAGATTTCAAATGCACTTTGAATCGTTTATCATCTAAGCATTTTCCATTATGTGGCAGTAAATTAAAGATTGTCTTACCTAATTCAAAAGTAGATTTAATGGTATTCTGATAATAACATTGGTGAATGGTGAATTCTGGGGGTGAACTCGTCCCCTTTATAGTGATATAACCAATCAGTAAAGCCCGAATAATGAAATTAACCCTAAAATTGCAGAAAAATAAACAGTATCAGCAATCTGACACATAATTTCTCCCATAAGCTTGTTAACAACATTTATCATGGGTGGAAGTAACTAGATAGTTTTGTAGGAAAAAATCAAAATAGTTGCAATAACTTTTGAGCCGTATTTTTACGGAAATGGGATTTGTACAATTTTGTTCAGAATCTACTAAATGACTATAACATACTTTTTTTCAAAATAATTCGGGCTATTTTTGAGAAAACCAAAATGTTCTGTTATTTTATGGGTTTTCATGGGGAAATCACCATTAAAAATCAAAATTTCGAACAAATAAAAAAAACAACTGGATATGCTAGAGATGCAGGCTAGGGCTAGACGTTTTACAATAGAATTAGATGATAGGTATACTTGTGTTGGTTTGTCTATGGCTGTAGACAGTTTGATATAGAGACAGACTTAATTGATCTATACGTAGAAAATAGCAAAAGTCTACTACAGATAGGTCTAATTAAAGAACATAGTGCCTTTTAAACAATACTAATGTAAATATAATAATTTATTACTCAAATCTAATAAAACTGTCGATTTTAAAACATATTGATGGAGAGAAAATCTTTCAGAAACCTACTAAGCTATTTATACCAGGCTATACACAATTCTGAGAGTACTTTTATTTTAGCCATGATTTCCTGTTTGAGATTTCTGGTTAGTTTTCTGACATATTAGTCTAAACTGGAGCTTAAAAATTGAAAAACTTATCAAAATTAAAAAATTCTTTAAACATTTTTAACCCTGCCTCCTTAATTGAAATGCTGTTGAACCGAAAATGATCAAATCTGGTAGATCACCTTAAGCTATGTTTTGTTAGAGAATGTCTGGAATTCTACATCTGGACTCCACCCAGTTCCAATAAAAACTCTGAAACCGGTCAAAACCTTTGGGTGACAAAAACCGCAAGCGACCAGAATATCACTTACTTATGTTATAGTTTTAACTATCAAGGTATACAAGTTCTTGGTTTTCAAACTAGTATTCATGATGCAATACAACAATAAAACTTATTGATGATACCATTCTACACAAAAAACTTGGTTATGAAATATTTTTGAAAAGAAATTCACGAGATTATATATTTTTTCTTTTTGAAAGAAGGAGTTAAGTTTGCCACAAAGAGAAAGTTGGTTTTAAGGAGCTTACTGAGGTACAACCAGGCATAAAACACAACTACGTTTATAAACACAAAATGAAATTAAAAACTCTTATTTCGTCCAAATTTTTCACAAAATTAATGGAATAATCTCCAACTGGTGGCTTGTAGGGACAGAAGTCGCAAAAATCTCAAATGTAAAGAAAATTAGTGTATAACTTAAACAAACTTAGAATGAATTTATCAATGTTTCGGTGCCAGGTATCTCTGTACACCATATCCTTTGAGTGAAAACATGTTCTTTTTTGTCTTAGCTTTTGTTATTAATGTTCAATAAATAATTTAATTTCTTCCAGTGTTTTAAATCTGCTAAAGGCATCAAATGTAATTTTTTGTGAGTAAATATGTTTTACTGTTAAAATACTGGTACATACTGTAAAAGAACATCGATTATTTGCTAAATAATCGCAAATTATCAACTTTAAATACCAAACAACCATACACTGTTATACCCAAAGACCGTATAATTATACGGTTATAATTATGATCTAAAGGCTCATTAATTGTCTGGTTGACTTATTGTTTTAATTCAAATATTACTGTTAGTAATTGGTATTGTTAACATGATTAAATGGAATTTCATCAGTTTGGTGACTGATTGATGAGGCTTTGACACTGGTTAGGGTTCCGTTTCCCAGTTGTCGAAGCGACTCACCAAATTCTCTTTTCATCGGCATTGACACGTATATTTTAGTTAGTTTAAGAAACGTAAACTACTTCCAGATTTTACTTTTATATTTAATTTCCCCTTTAATATACTATACTAAGCATGCTATATTATATTATTTGAACCTTCTTTTGCTTGGAACTGCATGCCTATCTGGTTTGAATCTCCCGTAAACAATATTATTTTTCCGCCCTGTCCTTAACCATTCTCTATGTTACTACATGTTGTGCACCATTCCTAAATACTCTCCTTCGTAGTCACGGTCTTTACCTAACACGTGGACATTTCAACACTGAATTACTATTTTAACCTAAAAACAGAACACTAAAAACAATAAACAAACAAATACGCAATGTTTACATCAGCTGGTACATTTAAAACAGCCTATAGAAACACTGTACCAGTATTTCCTTTAGAAAATTACTGGATCTCTGACGGCATGTGGGGCAGAACAGGGGTAATTTTGGACACTTCTGATATTTTCCCCACCGACCTTGGACCTTAAGGTTTAAAATGAATCCTCCACAGCCATGCTACCTTTTTCCTAGCTCGAGATATTTCGTAGGGACCGATTTACTTAAGGAATTAAATATATAGATAGAAGATAGATTGTGAGAAAATCGTCTTCCTTTGAATTCCTACACTTAAACAAAATATTATAGTTTTGTAATAAAAAACTAATTTGCCAATTAATATCAAACGGTACAAGTTTACACTGCTGTTATTAGCTAAAGGTTGCACAGAAGCACACACAGACACTGAGGTAAATATTGCAAACATCAGTAATTTATTTGCATGTATACATATACAAAAATCTAGAAACAGGGTAGCAATATGACTGCCGTAGAAAAAATGTCGCAAACTCACCAGTAAATACGACACTACAAATTTACTTGTCAGTGTGCTAGAGGTCATACACCCTGACGAAAAAGATTATATCATAGTGTGGGAAATTTTACGACCAATGCCCCTGCACAAAAAAGTACAAAGGTAACAATTACTTTCGATAGTCACCACTCATGTATCCAGCTGGTTAACTGACCCTTCAAGGACAACCAGTTCCAGACCTCTGCTCTGAAATTCAAGTGGCAGCTATCTGACAGAAATAAAAGACTGACGTTTCCCGGTTCAAATTAGGAAAACCAGTTTTATGATTTGTCAAACCATAAATCTTGCCAACTGATGTAACTTTTTATTACTGCTTCTCTGTAACCTTAACACAGATACCTCAATTACCAGCGGGATTAACAAATCGATGAGAATTTAATTGCTGGTTGTCGTAAAATTTATGGTTTTGTAAGTCTTCTGAGGTTTTGGACAAAGTAAGAGTTAAATGTTTACCTTGTAATGCTACGCTATGTTGAATTTTAATTATGTTGTTTTATTGGTGGATATTTCAGAACCATGACTTTGGTTGTACATAGTGCTAGGGTAGGGATAGGAATACTTTTACAAATAATTTAGGACAAATATTTTATGTTCTAAGGAAACAATGTGAACATTTGCAGTTTTATCTTCACATTTTACACATTCCAACTATATATAGGCCTACCTAAAACTCTATTTAAATGTTAAAATGTTGAAAAAAACCGTTGATGTGATTGAGACTCACACATAAAGTTGTTATCATCAGTACTCTCGCATGAAATCTTGCATTTGACAATAATCGCAAGGAAACTATTGTGCTTTACCGTAAACACCTCAAAATCCCGAACTTTTTATGTACCACACGAATAATTTGAGTAAGCTAGTCCTACTATTAGTATAATTTAATGTCCAACAGATTAACATGATACAGTCGGAAAGATTCCAAGCTGAAGAACACCGAATAGTTACTGAAGATGGATACTTGCTCGTGATTCACCGTATTCCTCCATCCACAAGACTTGCCAACGGCCGAGTTGTCATTTACTTCCACGGACTCTTTGGGTCTTCTACTGACATTGTGATCAGAGGAAGGGACAAGGGACTGGGTGAGAACATTTCAATTTTTCTCCCTTTGCACAAAATTGGAGCAACAAAAAATTTATATCTTAATTTATTCTTTAAAACCCTACAGGCAGATACAAACCTTTGTCTGCTTCATCAGCTAGAGTAATCAATAAATCTACATGTTAAGTAAATGAATGTTTTAATTAATAGAATTGTTGAATTACCGATAGGCATATAAATATAACATCTAAAAACTTACAGGGTTTCTCATGTCGCTAGCTGGTTTTGATGTCTGGTTGCCAAATTTGAGAGGAAGCGCAGATAGTCAACTCACTGTAAATGTTACCAAAGACAACCCGTGGGATTTCAGGTAAAATTTCTAGAAAAATGGACTTCTGGTTAATTTACTAGATGTATTGGGACATATACTAGTAATTAGGTGAGAATTAACACTAGTAGTTTTTAATTATTAAGCTAAATTTTGTCTTATGACTGGTGACTGATTGATTGTTTTATCATCTCTTGGAAAATGTGTATGCCAACACACACAGCATAAACTTACCAATTTCTTATCACTATGATCAGTCTACATTATATTGCTTGAAACTCGAAATCAATTAAGCTATTGAAATAAAATGTTAATCTTATTGTTGATCTAAAATTACAAATATGAAATACAACTTTCCTCTTTTTATCCATTAAAACTTTATACTTCAACCAGCTTGCAAATCAGTTTATTCAGTAAAACAAATTCTAAAAGTCAGTAATTCAAAACCCGCCTCTGGGCTGTTGCTAGCTTTGTACATTGGGACACACACTAAAGCCACACCTTTACTTGAGGCCAGTTACTTGCTTCAGGTAACTTCAAATACATTAGAGGCAAGTAACTTGCCCCTTAACCTGCCTGCTCTATTGGTCTCGTGTAATCGCGGCTTAAGCATTGACTTTGTGATAAAGAATCAGATATCTCATCTATATGGACCAGCTGTCACAAATACTTTTAAAAAAGAACATAGTTCTGTGAGCCAGTCACAGATTGCTAGAGTCTGAAATTCTATTTCCTATCTCAATTTTCGTGAAAAATCGTTGTGTCATACAAGACCCTACAGATTACAATAATTCGTCCCATCAGTTTGACTTGGTTAAAGTCTGCAAGATTTCATTTACACTAGCGCAATCTGTCGGTAGCTCACTTCAACTATGTCGGCAAAAACACAGGATGTCTAGTTCTAATGATAATCAAAGCTGTAAGTTCATCCTATTATCACTACTTTTTGGGAGGCTCATATTTTATAATCATATATCTAATCCATCTCTCTTGGAAACCATAACCAAATATTATTGCTTTTTTCAAAGAAAGCAACTTTAAAATAATGCTAGTTAGTGAACGTATGTTTTAGTTAATTCCATACAAATCTTTACCGGGTAAAGGCAAGATCCTCATTGATTTCAGCTGGGATGAGAACGCTCTCTACGACTTCCCCGCCATCATCGACTACGTCTTGGCTGTCTCAGGCAGCAGTAAGGTGTCGATTGTCGGATTGTCGATGGCTGGCAACGTTGTTCTAGGAGGCTTATCTCTACGACCGGAGTACAACCAGAAGCTCTCTGGAGCTGTGTTCCTCGCTCCGACCTCTCGCTTGAAGTACACAAGGAGTATTGTCAAACGAGCGGCTCCTCACTGGCGGTGGGTTTATGTGAGTCGTACAAAACTCGTAGAACAGATCATTGTTTTGTCTCTTGAGGGATTACTGTGGCCATTATAAATAACTTTTATTGGTGATGTTTCAAGATTTGGAAACCTAAAACATAACAAGGTTGCTTAGCCAACAAACTTAGCCAAAGATGAAAAATCGTAATAAATAAACTATTAGAATTGTATGTAGAGAGCTGTAGCTACTGAGCACCACTGCTCACTACTGCCACCACTGGGTGTTGCTACTGACCACTGGGTTATTGTGCTCGCCTGGTAATCAAAAGATCACAGGTTCTATCCTAAAAAGTAAGTAACTTTTGAAGGTTCGAAACAGGCTTTAAATGATCCTGGCTAATGAATCAGCTGGTCATAGTCGGTAAAAAAAGCTACACAGATCATCTCACTCCATCCTACACTCATACTTCACTCATGTTTGGGTTACAAGCACCTAGGTAGCACACCTTAACTGGTAATAATAATGTGGTTGTTAAAAAGGAAACACAAATTGTCAGGAAAACCAAAGATTAGTTCATTTAAAGGGTATGTCAACACAATGTATATTGTTAGAAAAGGAGGATGGGTCAAGCTATACTGATTGTAATAATTGTTGGGATTCCATAAAAAATATATTCTTTAACTGTGTCTGAAGAAAGTTAGTTATCCCTCAGAAAACTATTAGTGATACAATATTTTTTTATTGAATTTTATTTTGTTGTTGTAAGGGAGCCATCTACACTCTGATATTGCTATAATCTAACATAAAGGTTTGACCTTTTCTTAGTTTGCACCATAAATGATTGATCCCGCTGACAAATACTATCTAGGTCCAGAACACTTTTGAGATTGAACCAATAACCATCAAATATGAAGGCGAGTACTATGACGACACGGACATTCTGAAATAATACCTACTGGTTATGCATGGTAAATATCTTTAGAAGATAATAATATCAAATACTTTGATAAACTAGTGCACTTGTTGCTCGAATTCGAGCAATTGCAAATTATTACATGCGTTTTTTTAAAGCGAATTTACAGTCACAATTTCCGATGAGTTAAAAGAGTCAACTCAAAGATAATGTAGTCAATCACTCCACTACAGTTATCGAAACTGAAAACAAACTCGCTCTGAAAAAAACGCTCTTGTGTGTATCATGTGTTTACTACGAACAGCTGCAATGAATACAAATTATTCATCTAATGGCCAACTTAGCCACAGCTGTGTTGCCTTTAGTCTATACTTTATTGCAATATTTACTATGTAACAGCTGTTGCTTGTTTTTTTGTTATAAACTGTTCAGTTTTGTCTATGTTATGATTCAACATACTTCTTCATTCTTTTTGTAAATAAAACTTATCAAAATATTCGTTCATATAGTGGTGATATTATTTCATTCAGATTAAACATCGCTATAATCTGTTTAAGTAAACAAAATCTTTTCTTCATGATAAATACTTGGGATTTTGATGGTCTGTGGGGCAAAACCCGAGGAATTTTATTACAGGAATTGGTAAAAGGGGGTGTCTACACAGAAAATACTCAGTTTTGACACAGAGTTTGTAAAAACCGACCATTATTAACGGAGGAGTAGTGTTTCGTAGAAATTGCCTTCACATATCATATATAAAGATTTCAATGTTTATTTTCAGAGACTGATAAAAGATTCAGGAGTATCCTGGATTCCTTTCATGAGAGTGGATGTATTTCACCGCTTCATGGCCTGGATGTGTTCCTTGCCTCACGTTGGGCCGTTCTTGTGTGCCTCACTCATGTTTTCTACTGAGAGTATAGTCTTCACCATTGAAAAAGTGAGAGTTTTATTTAAAAAACTATTAGGCTGGTGAAATTACTCATTCTGTTCAAGTACTTTTTCGCGAACAAGTGTTGTACGTTATGCGATTATTTTTTTATGGAATAAGGTGTGTACAGATTTGGAAAAGGTTTATATCGTTTGAAGCTAGTACTGTACACATATATATTTTATATTAATTCACTTTGGTTCTATAAATTGCGAAATTGCAATTGTGTAGGAGAAATAATCTTTTATTTAAAAACATACAAGAGGTTCTATCCGTAAAACCGTGGGTGTACAATTCAAAAACCTCCATTAAATAAGTTTAATTAATTTTTCATTTATATTACAAAGGGCATAAGTTCAAAAATTCTCATAAGAAGGAATGCTAGAAGCAGTGGAACCTTTATACCTTCGTCCTGAGGTGGGTACGGTTGTAGCAAAACTTGCCGCTCTCTTTCACGATGACCTGTTAAAGATCGGTGGCGACCTCTTGGATGACCAACAGACATGTATTTTCTGTCTCATATGCATCATTTTCAAACACCAAAGCACTCACTTGTATTAAACGGCTATAAATAGTAGGTATCGGTGTTAACCACTCCTATTTTAAGAACATAAAAGTAAATTAAAAAAAAAATAAATCTACAAATTATTGTCAACTGCATTGTCTAGCTGTTCACTAAATCACGTTGCGTATACCTCATCATGTGACCACAGCTTATGGCAGGGCTTTTGTTGTTACTGCTTGTCGTCTGTGGAACTGCCTACCCCTGCACATTAAGACACTTGAAAAACGTTCCCAGTTTGTGGCGGCACTGAAAAAGCTCTATTTTGAGAAGATGGTCTCGGCTGGCCTGTCCTCGGGCTACTGTTTCTTTGCGCGTTTGCTGATGCATGTATGCGAGAGTGTGTAAATGTGTTTTTCTATTTGTTAAATTTGTATGTTTTTTATTTTATTTTCTGAGATATGTAGGTACTTGAATTGTTAAATATTTTTATGTTTTAGATTAAGCTATCCCAATGTAACATTATTTTTGTTATAATTTGAATGCCAGGTTAAGTGTAAGAAAGGGCCCTCCCTAACTTTGCCTGAAAAAATCAAAGATTTTAATTTTAATTTTTAAATCAATCGAGTAACGTAAACTTCTTAAACGTGTAAGGCGTGGCCCTTTGGAAATTGGCCTTTGGGGCAGAGCCCTAAGAGAATTTGATCATACCAACACTTTTCGGAAAATCTACACACTCTGAGATTCATTTTGATGTGCCATATGCCTATATTTTTATTTAGTTCTAAACCATTTACATAAAATTTATATGTATCGCTTTAATAATATGATAAATTATTTTAAGATGAATCAACCCAAGGCCGCAATACCTTAGTCGAGGTGCTGGGTCTAGCACGATCTTTTAGTATCTCATCTTATATTTAAGTATCTACTGAACAGATCACTTCTCAGTCAAGATCACGAATTTTTGTGACATACATTCTGTTGTTCCATAAGTTATCTTAAGTTTGTGGAACCTTGGTTCGAGACATTGTATATTTATAAAAATTAAAAGTTTATTAAACTAGAATTTATTAAGTTAAACATTTAGTATACCGTACCTATATAACATTTTATTTCATATTTTATCAAAATGTTTGGTTGTAGGATCTTTTGCAAAAGGTTTTTGCACACTACCCTCATCCTGGTTCCACTAAAAGTGTTGTGCATTTCCTGCAAATCATGAACTCAGGTAAAGACAAGCAATATTCGTTTAGCTAATGTGTTTTATTGTTAACCAAGCTAAAACAATATATGAATAAAATATAGACACTATTTGTAAGGCATCTGATCTACTTGTCCTCGTGTATTGTAACAAAAGATAGAGATGAAGATATAAAGTTCATACTAAAATATGAGAGAAACACATATAGATCTTTTGAGCACACTTAATACAACAAAACTGCTCCATTCCCCATTTTATCAGATTTTACAACAAGATGAGACATCTAGTTGCAGTATTCATCACCAATATCACAGTAACTTTTTGATTGGACCCAGCAATCTGTCATAATTATTTAGCCTGACTGAAAAAAAAAAAAAAAAAAAACAGCTGATCTTATTTAGTAGCAAAGTTACATAAGTCATTTTAATCCATTCTACATCCACTCTTCACTCATTTTGAGCGCGTTCTGGGAATATGTACCGGTGCACCAGTGCAGAACCTGTGCAGAAAATGTTTCGTTCTGTCCAGACCTGTCTCCTACTGAGGTCCATTTTTTCCTTCCACCAGTGCAAGATTCATGCACCAGAAATCGTATTGTGTGTAATACCCCAATCCCCAGTGGCCTCTGATTGGTCAGTTTGTTGGACATCAGTCTGCAGCTACAGCAAGATGGTGGGTCCATCGAATACATGTTCAATTGTTTATCCCGATGGTATATATTACGTTATAAGTGAATGATTTATAAATAGTTTATTCTGTAAGGGTAAGTTTGTTTGATAACATAAAGTAAATAGTAGGTTGATGTGGGAATTATAATCGGATGTGCATCGTAAACCGGTGACTAACCTACCCCGTGGTTGATGAAATGATAAATATTCATTGAGCAGTCTTTTTGCTCTTTTGTGCCTTGCTAAATGGTCTGGCTAAGGAAACAGCTGATCTCATTCAGTAACAAAACCATACAATGAAGCTCACTCCGTTGCACACCTATTATTGAATCCTTTTTTGTCAAAATACATCCAGTCGGATTCCATCTTCTATTGATGTTATTTTGATCTACAACAGTTTTTACATCCCCAGGTAGATTCTGCATGTTTGACTATGGTCCGGAAGACAACATGTTGAGGTACAACAGGTCGACTCCTCCAGAATATGATTTGTCCTCGGTTGATATTCCTGTGGCCATCTTCTACAGTCACTGGGACACAATGGTCAGCTACCAGGTTAGTTGGTGTTAAACATTTTAATTGCGATATCTGACAACTTTTTACCAGTCTTGCAGAAAGTAAATGACGGACGATTATTAGCAACTAAATTCCAAATGGTTATTAGTTGGCTGTAGGGGGACCCACAGCATAATGTGAGCGATCTACTATCGAGAAATTGCATTACATACCTAAAAAACCATTTTTTGTTGGCAGGATTTGTATCCAGCAGATCAGCCTTTTGCAGAAGATATTTCAAAACCGCTCTAATTACTGAATCACTCTCTTTAATGGATAATTTACAGCTCATGAAAATAATACAATTCTTTGGACAGAAATTGCATACAAATCAATAACAACTATAAATTAAACAGAATCAGGTTGGCAGGACATGTACATAATTCAGAAAGTGAACTTCTTATGTCAGCTCAAAGCTGTTTACGAACTCTTGTATAAATGCCGAAGATGAATACCCCCTAATGAATACAGAAGATAGTTTTGGGGTGAAAGCGAATGATTTAGTCACTGTTCTGAGAAATATTTGATTAATAATAGTTTTCTAACGCATGTAATGTATTTCACTATTAATGCATTAAGAAATGTAAGTATTCTAAAAGCACCACAAAGAACAAACAACATGAATAACGTGTATATAGTTACCTCTGCCAACAACGACTGGGGTAAATTTCTCTTTAATTTATTCTCATGAAAATATCCTTGAAAATTTAACTAGAGTAAAAAAGTACACAAAGCTATACCTGTGTCTAACACCAATTAATCATCACAAAGTTATCACCTAACACCAAATAATTCAAGATTGAACGTTCAATTAAGTAATATCTCATGTTGCAGGATGTGGAATGGTTGGCATCTCAGCTGAAAAACACAATTCTCGCCTACTCAGTGCCAAAGTACAAGTTTGCTCATCTCAGCTTCATGTGGGACCCGAACATTGATAGTTTAGTATACAACAGAGTAATCAATGTTCTACAGTCACTTTGACGTTTGTTGGGGCTTAACAACTTACCAATTTGTGGAGTAGTTCCTGTGACACATTATTTGACCTAGATCAAGAATGGATATCTTACATGTCTGAGTTCTTAAGTAACTTATTCCATTATTGATGAATATTTCATCCCCGGTGCAATAGCTATTGAGATCTCTAAGATACTTTGAGACTCTTCACATCCTTGAGATAATGCATATACTGTAATATTCTTGATTCTTGCGTTGAAGAATACATAATAAGTATATTATATGAAATAAATTATTCAGCTCAGGCTCAATGGGAATTAATTTTTATATGTTTTATTGGACCTGTAAAAATCTATAAAAATTCCTTTGTTAGCATTTAAACTTTAATATGAAACATAATATGAACTAGGAAGGGTTCAAACTCAACTTTTCATAGATCTAACTTATCATTGACTGCTCTTAGATTCAAGATAAAATTTATAATCTTTTTAGATTAATTAGTTAATTATTACTGACATAAATCAGCTGGGTAACATCTCTTGTAAATTGAAGGCAAATGAATCAAATCGATTCTAAATCAGAACTAAAGCAGTATATTGAGTAAGCTGTGTTTAATTTTTGTGATAATATGCACCCTTAGGATTACCAAAGAAAATGTCAATTAAAACTAAAAACAAAGTACTGTACTTTCCTTAGTATCAGTGGAGAGTAGTTGGTTTATAACTTTGAGCAAGAGACGTGATTTTATTGTTGAAATCCCCATAATATTGTTGAACTGTTTAAAAGTATTGAAATCATCTTTTTGTATGTCTGCAAAATTTAAGCTTTAAAATTACACTATAAAATATAATTTAAGTAGGTTGGGTGAAAAAGGATTATTACAGATAAAACCCTTATTATATTAAGTGAATCAATTTATTTGGATAAGCCAGTATGATGTTTGTTCAAAATTTAATCCTGCTCTAAATGTATAGCTATGTAAAGTTTGAGTTTCAATAGTGGTTGTTTATACTAATTTACTAAATTCCATACCAGTACCGGTACTTTATTTTAATTTATTCATTTGTAATTTAGGCTAAGTTTTTTATTGTTATATTTTTTTAGGATTTTCTATTTAGTTATAGTTTTTGCTTTAGTTTTGCATTAATGATATGAGTAGTTTTTGCTCATAATGTGAGATTTTATGTACGAATAAGTCTAAATAAGATCCAATTCTAAACATAAACTAATGTTTCAAGTATTTATTCCTGGTTGTCTTTTTCTCTATCAGCTGGAATTATCACAAATAGGAATGTTTTAATTGTTTATTTGTAAATATGAATTTTGATCAAAATAAATATTTGTTAGTGTCAAAAAAGGGACTTTGGTAAATCAATGTCCATTTACTAAAGCAAAGGATTAATTTATTGAGTTTTAGCTATGGATAATCATTTATAAATTTTGTTTAAATCCTTGCGGCTAGTTGTTTTTAAATTTTAAAATGTTCTCTAAGAAGAAAAATCGATACAACGCTTATATGAAAAAGACAGACACAGGAATTATTGTGAAAACAGTTGACTCACTTACTGGGTTTGAATCGTTGATAACATTTTCATCAGACTCTAGTATATTGCGAAAAGAAGAATCCAGCAGTGATTATTTGAAAGAAAATGTTTGTCCTAGTTTAAACCAGGTTAATGAAGGTGAGCTGTTAAGTTTTTATATTTTGCTAGGTACTTATTTAACATTTTAGAAAATGTTATGCTTGGTCGCAAGTAGTTGACTAGTGGTTTGCATGCAGGACATTTTCCAATTGGCTTGGGTTCAAATCTTGTCAAACGCCAGATTTTTTTTAGTAAGATACAATATTTTTTTAACCTTTTTTCAATTTTCAAATTACAGTGGAATATTTACAGAAAATAGTATAGTACAATTACAAGTAATTATAATCCAACAATAAATTTGACACTTTTAAACAATTTGGAATCCCTGCTCCATTTTTAAACTCCCTCGCTGACTGTCATTTCTTTCTTGTTCGTCTCAGACTAATGCTTGTTGCTCTGAAAACTGCACAAATTGTTCTTGATCTTATGCAATTAGTGTTGTTGTAAACTTGTAACTTAATGTTGTTAACTTGTAAGATGTATGAGTTTTTTCAATTTTTCTGATAATTTTTCAGCCATAACCATTAAAAACACAAGGAATTCATTCCTGGAAATTGAATCAACACTCGTGATAAGTGGAGTAAATGATGCATGTCGTTGCTCACAAGCTTATGTATATTTTATTTTTGTCGTATTCTGCATTTTTAATACATTGAACTTGTCGATGAGGGATATAAACGTATGTTACTGTTAATACTGTTCAATGAAATGGCGACCAAACAAAGTAGGTATTTTAAGCCAAGTATGAATGGAGATGAGTGTAGCGTGAGTGGCGCAATCTTGTAGTCTTGTTAGTGATTAAGACCGACATTCCTTAGACACAGCTGTTAATTAATAGCCCATACAGCTAATGGTAACTAAGGGACCTACAGTTTATAGTGGAATCCGAACCACATTTTTCCTCGGTATACACGAATTGGTCTAATTATCAGGATAGTACTGCGGATACTCGTAGTACTCACTCGTGGGGATGTTAATCCACATCAGGGAGTATCGCATCCACAGTGCATGCCTATAAATATACACAATTCGTATGGATGAGAAGTCTACTTGTGTTGGTTAGTGTATGGTTTTACCATGACCTTTACATCCTAGAGACTAGCCAGGAACTGTTCCCACAGTGATTCAGGCTAGGCTCAGGGGTTGTAGCATTTGTGATTGGCCAAATTTTAAACTGGAACCTCGGGGAATGACGCCTCGTGCTCTACCTAAGACCAGCTCACTCTCATATGCTAGACATTAAGAATGCCTTGATGGAGCATCAACAGTGTCAACAACACACACATCAAACAATGCTTCCATTTGAGTCTCCCATATGCAGACAAGCTAAATCAGCCTTTAGTGCATGTTCATTTAGATGACTGCCTTGCACTATAAAGGGATCTTTAATTCACTTTCCCAGGCTTGGTCCATCATATTACCTACTGTGTCTCTTACTTCATTGTGTCTTCTTATTAAAAGACCCCATTGGGAAATTTAAAAGTATGAATAAGTTTGAATTCATGTCCGCATCCTTCATAGTTTTAAGGGAGGTTTACTAGTGTTTACCCTTCTAGTGTAAAGCTAGAGCATCTCTAAATTCTTGTAGGGACATGTTCATTAGTTCAGATAGTTAAACTGTGTAAATGTTCTTTTAATTGATCCTGACTGATGAAACAGTTGATCCTAATCAGTAACAAAGTTACACAGATAATCTCAGTTGCACTCATCCTTCACTTATAGGTATTTGGGTTAAAATACGCACCTAAGGTGGTATCCTCATCTCAATTGCGTATGTTAGTTTATTAGTACTAAAAACTAACTGCAAATTTTCAATACTTTTCAGAAGATCAACATTCAAATGAAAATAGGAATCATTCACCGACAAAATTAAACCCAAATCTCAATACCAGATTAAATGGAATCAGCTCTGATGTGAGTGAAGTTCATCAGAATGTTCCTAATTTTCACGTTTATAAAGATTGTAGTGGCTCAACACAGTACTTCCAAAACCCTAACATTATATTTGTTGCAAATTCAAAATTGGCCAAAGATAAAACGGTTAATTTAACAATTCCTGCAAAACTAGGAAACGTTTTCTATCATGGCGTTCTCAACAGAAACGGAGTTGTAAAGTTTAAAGCAGAATCTGTTGTGAAGCCATTCACAATAGTTATTGGTGATTATGTTATCAATATCAGTTTGAACCACAGTCTAAAATCAGCCAAAACTAGAAGTCAAATCATAGGCAAAGAAAGTGAACTAAGTACATACAGCAAAGATATTTTAATTTCCTTCGACAAAGAAAAATCTATGAAAACCAAAGAAACCAATACAGAGTCTACAGAGACTCTAAAAAATTGTGTATCATTTACCAATAGCTTTACTCAAACTAATGATTTAGCTACAATTGACCATTGCCTGGTTGGGAATTCAGAGTATAGAGAAGAGGAAACAATTAAATTAACATCTTGCTCTGAAAATAATAAACAAGAGTTTGAATGCTTGGCTAAACACACTGAATTCTCAAATATGTCCTTAGAGTGTCATCAAACTCAAACAGAATCTATAGTTTATGGCAAATGTTCAGAAAAGTCATCTCTGGAAAAAACTGACCACATAGAAGGATTTAAAACAGAATACACTCCTTTATTTAGAGACATGGAAGAAGAAAAGAATGATTCATTGCAAACACACATCGGTTCCAATTTGAATATTCAGCTTTTGAACTGTGAAATCCCAAAATCTGATGAACCGTTTGAAAACTCAATTACACAGCATACTAGTGTTGATAAGTCGGAGATTCATGATTCGTGCTGTGGTCAACGGTCAGTCATAAATGGGATGGATATAAGTCTGATGTCATCTCTTAACCAATCTACACAAAGTCCACTAATTGGACATACAGAGTTACCAGCTTCAAAAGAAGTTGAGGGTGAAATACCAAGTGAAAAATGTAACGAATCACTGATGCACATAAAAAAGAAGTTAAGTGAAACGACCGTTTATTTGCAGAGACTAAATTTAGCCATACAATCAATGAAAATCCTTCCACAACTGCCAGTTACTGGTGGTTCAGAGACTATTAAGGTATATGACAAAGGACATGGACGAACAAAATTTAACACATCAAATCTACCAAAAAGAGTGAATGCACTGACTTCACTACCAAAGATTTTAAATAAACAAAATGAAAGAAAGATATTGCCTGAAAATAACGCAGGAGAATATGCAAGGAATATGGTAGAAGAAGATAAAGAGTTTGTCTTATTATACAAAGGACAAGCTAAGTCAATGCCCAACTTATTAGGGCTTAGAAGATCTGGTGTTCACAATTTTATCAGACCCAAAGACGTTTTTTCCTCAGTGGATGAAAAATATAACTCTGAAAAGAAGTCTGGCAGGTATCCAACAGAAATGCCACTAAGAAGTTGTACTTGTACTAAATGTTGTTTTAGTAATTTGGAAAACACAGATAAGTTCTTAAGTAGTAATTCTGGGGAAGGAAAACCAAACTTTTTGTGTACTATCTGTGATCAAGCTATCACCAAAAAGGATGTCAAGAAATCTGTTTGTGACTTCCACATAAATAACACATCTGTAAATTTCAATGGAAAAATCTCTCCACATTGTCTTAAGTGTACACAAGTGAGTGAGAAGAAAAATCCTAGTCAAGTTAGTTTAATGTCTGATGAAAAGGTCGATGATTCAGTAGAGAGTATGCAGACAATATATATTAAACCAGATTTTAAAGATTCAAGTAAATTAACCACACCTGCTGATCAACCGGGTTCTCCAAAGAAAATGTTAAATCCGCATGATGTTCTTATAAGAGATAAATATAGTGTATGTCCCGCTGTATCAACTGATGGTAAACACCGTTTTGAAGAATCAGCAAACTCCAAAAGCTTCACTAAGAAATTTAAACAGCAATTTTCAAAGTACAAGGGTCGACTAATAGACTTTAAAATATTGAAAAATAGAAAAGATGATTTCAACCAGTGGTCTGTAAACAAGATTTTTAATACCAGACCTATTTCAGGAAATGATAAAACTATCGATAAGACTAACAGTTGTTCGGATGCCTCTTTGGATACTCCTAATAAGGTATGATGGGTATTTGCAGGTGTGCTAAGAAATTTTGATGGAATGAAGAGAACTATCTTCATAAACTCAATATTAAATTTAATACTCATTTTAAGATACATTTCCCCTAAGATGACACATTTTCTTACAACAGAAAATCCTCAATCAAATCTTAAACAAATAAGAAACATATTAATAATTGGAATGTATACAACTTCTGATTTTGTAATGGATAAATAAAATAAAATTAAAACAAATCTGTAATTAATTTGCCATACAGTAAGTAACCTCTATACTAAATTAGGTGTACAATGCAGTTGTCTGCTTGCAATATTGAGCGGAGCTAGCATATTAATCCAATACTTTTTTAAAGTCAATGCTACATCTGTTTATCGCATTTGAGATATATACTTGCAATATCCAATGTCAATGATGTATGTGGTTTACATAATTAGAATGTTTTATTTACAGTAACCAAAGTCAATAGGGGAAAGACCCGTTGTGCGATTTGTACCATTTCAGATTTATACCTTCCCATGGTTGGTTACTATGACTGTGCTAAATTTTGTGCTGATGGGTTCAGCCATTCAGGAGGAGTATTTGTAAAACAAAACCAGGAGTGTAGTATAAGATGATTCGCTTCGCTCTGCTCAATTATTTTTTAGAACAATGCATAGTTGTCTTAAGCTATACATAAAAAGAAAATTTCAAAACTGTCCTATCGATCAATTTTAATTTCAACTTGTAAAAAAAAATTTATAAAAACTGAAATTTATTTTTTTAACTGTAGGTACAAAAGAAACACGAAAAAACCAACAACCTCAAATACAACCTTAACAACCTTATATTGTTTCAATTGTTTGTGTAAGCAATATAAGTTTATCTTCGTATTGATCAGTAATCTAAGGATGGTAAGCGATAAAAAAATACACACTGCATAAACTACATAGTCTAGGTTAACTGTGAGTGGGTAGTAATAGTTAGTTTCATATTTCATCCTCAGAATGGTTGACTTAATCATAGTTATTAGCATTACGTAAACATTTTATAGTGGAGAAAAGTAATCTCCAATGTTATTATGACTACATCTAAGTAAAAGAAAACTTGAATATGTAGGTGTAGGAGTATGGATTTAAATTGCCTCTGTCAGACACTGACATGAAAAGATCGCAAATAAACAATTCTTTGAGAGCAAGATGATTTCCTGCAGATCCGGGGCAAATCGAATCAACCATCCTATTGAATTCTTTCATTTCCTGCATAATATATTCTGCCAAAATTCAGTTTGGAATTTAAAATCTCATTATTTTCTGCGTAGGATATAGATAACTTATAGTAGCTAAAAAATGTTTAAAAAATTAAAAAAATTTCAACATACCGTAGGCCTACATTTCCCGTAAATTTGCCATACAACTATGCATTCAAAATTAGTGTTCAACCATTGCTTTCAAATGAACTTACGTGGTTATTTCAACACTAACGCCCCAAATTCGAACGTGGGAAAAAGCTGAAAAGAAAAATTGAACTATATTCACTGTGAACAAATTTTACAAAAAGTGTTAGTGATTGCTCAACGTCTCTGTTTTTCAATGTTTTCTGAACACATTGCTCCGACATATTTTATTGATAAAAACTGTTGTATTGTCATTAGGACTTGAAAGAATAATGTTTAAGAAAACTCTGCAAGCATACAAACAAATATAAAACAAAACATTTCTCCCCATCTATTATTTTATTTTCAAACAAAAAAAGTAATGCGAAATGATGTGTAAATTTTTCATTCGTGTGAATTTGCATCCCAAAGAAGTTTCTGAGAAAAATATTTGCCCACCAAAACATGGTAAATGGTGTTTTGCATATTAATTGCATTTCGACAGGTTGTTTAAAAGTTTAAACAAGGTTTTAGCTTAACTCCTACTGAATAAACATAGACCACAATAGGGAAATACACATTTTCATTTTATTACGAATTTATTTAGCATAGGAAAGGTTGAAAAGTAAAAAATATGTTATGGTTATAAAATAAGAATTGAAGACGTAAATAAATAAACATGTAGAAAAAGCAAAAAAAGTATAAACTTTTAGGATGGAATAACTATGGCTCATAAATGTCAATTAGGTCCTTACTAAACCTCTTTGAACTAATAATTTTACTACGTTTAAGCCTTAAGCTATGAACTCAAAAGTCTGAATTATTATGAAAATAAGGTTTCAATGGACTTAATACAGGTAAGATACGTAACTAAAACCAAAATATCTCAACGCAGTGAATTTTAAAAATAATACACCAATCCCGTCAGGATCCACGAAAGCTTTAGTTTTTGGTAGGGCTCTCTTATTTAGCTCTACCACATCAGGTGAACTCCTTATACCTAACAGGTACAACCCCTTGATTTCTTTGGACGCATAATCTATGCTGCTGTTTCCTGGTCAGAAAAAACCATTGATAAGTCCCAAATCTCAACCAGCACTTAGGTTTGGAAATAAAAGAATTCATTGACTAAGCACGTACATATACTAACCAGTATATTTATCTGTGGTAAATAGTTGATTTTGTAAGAGTAATAGTTAAATTAACATATTTCAATGACTAAATAATTAAATAATAAGAAAAAAATAAATTCAATTGATTACCTTATTTAAGAGTTTTAAGAAAATTACCCTATGTTATTTTACGAGGAAGCTACTGAAGAATATTAGTTTATATCGATTTTGTAGAACATTCCTATAAAGAAGTAATTCATCCATAGAGGTAAAAATTATAAAGAAATACTGTTTAGAAAATGTGTTATAAATATTCATGTATTGTCAGTTTAAACGTTGAAGTTGTCGTTGTATAAAAAGGGGTGAAGCGGGCAATTTCCATGTAAATATTTAGTAATTTGTTTTCCTCTTGAAAGTTTATGCTCCAAGCACACATACAATTTATGACTATGTAACTAAACAGGATATATATTGAGAAGAAAAACAGGAGAATTGTTTTATTTGCATGTTCCTGTAATTGAGAAAGTATAGAAAATATAGTTTTTAATAAATAGGTTTTAATAAATTAAATTCTACAAGCTTATAATTTGTAAAACAGGTTTCATTAAAGAAGGCATTTACTGGTAATAAGCAAGTATATCTGAGGAAACCTAAAAATTATTCATAGTTAGTATTTAACCCCTGATTCGCAACGGGATTTGGACCCAGAAAAAATGTATTTCTTTAAATGTACTGAGGAAAACACACGTCATAAATATGATTGTGGACTCACTCAACTATACTGTAGGTACTACCTTTCAATAGTCAATGGTACTACCAAAGATTACATATGCTAAAAGCATATGTAATCTTTGGTACTACTTAAACAAATCTCTTTGTTTTAGTTAGATCAGCTGCTTGGTAAAATAAGATTGAAAATGTAACCATAAACGGTATAAAACAAAGTAGACATGATATTTTGAATGAAGATCAGTAAGTATTGCCTTCAAATTGTAACCGTTTATTATCGTTTATTTACAATGTCGTATTAAAACATTTTTAAACAACAATAACTTCCGACTGAATAAACCTTTTGAGGTCCAGTTGGCGCTATTGTTTTAGGTTAACAATACCTTTAATTTGATGTACATATTAACCTATGCTTACCTCAAAGATTTTCAACTAACTCCCCATGAGCCACCCCCCCCCCCCCTATAGGTTCACCAACTACACTAACAAGTAACTTACTATTTGTTTGTCCTAGGACGCTAGGCACGAGTCCGGGATTGTTTTTCACATTACTTAAGACTAGACCCAGGGGTTGCGGCATTATAGCTTAGATAAAATCCATTGGTGACTTGGTGGGATTAGAACCCGGGACCTCAGGAACCGAAGTCCCCCGCTCTAACCACTAGACAAGCTCGCACCCCAACGTTCTATTAATTAATTAGCCTAACTTATTATTACAAGCTATGATATCTATTCTAAATTTAGTTATGATATATCTTTTCATCTTAAAGTTATATAGTCGTCCTATAAGACTTAATTGTCACCCTATATAACATAATATAATATATCTTAATGTCAAACTTTAAATCAATCAGTTCAGTTTATTTTTATTCCCCTGGTTAAACAGATTCACAGTCCGAACTACCTGTATAAACCACATATATTGTTTAAAACAGTATAGTTTGTGTTTATGGATGGATACGACGGTGTTCATTAATGAAAGGTATATTGTTGGGTAGTCAATTGTCTTCAAACTAAGTTATAGTAAGTATAATTTCAGTCATAGCTTGGGTACGAAATAATTTCGAGAAAACTATAGGCCTACACCTATCCTAAAGACAAGTTTTAGTCAATCTTGGATACTGAAAATAAAATATATATGTTTACGTAATGCACATATACAGTATCCTTACCATTTGTTAGGTCATCTCAACAATTTATGTTCACCAATTTCCTTTTATACCAATAATGATATAGTATGATGTCTGTAGTACTCCGTCGCTACTTTATGGATTCAAGATAGTCTATGTGATATATATTTTGTGGCAACGACAGCACAGTCCGTTCATCTCCACAGTTTATGTCCACACATTTCTCAGACTACAATACTGCTATTGGTGACCCTCCTTCAAAGTTTTATAGATACTAGATTCTCTATATGTGTCATATGTGGCAACGCCAACACAGTCTGTTCATCTCTACAGTTTATGTCCACACATTTCTCATACTACAATACTGCTATTGGTGACCCTCCTTCAAAGTTTTATAGATACTAGATACTCTATATGTGTTATATGTGGCTACGTCAGCACAGCCTGTTCATATCAAGAGTGTATGTCCACACATTTCTCAGTCTACAATACAGCTGTTGGTGGTACTCCATTCATGTTTTATAGATACTAGATGGTCTATGTGTAATATGTGGCTACGTCAGCACAGTCTGTTCATCTCCACAGTTTATGTCCACACATTTCTCAGTCTACAATACTGCTATTGGTGACCCTCATTCAAAGTTTAATAGATACTAGATACTCTATATGTGTCATATGTGGCTACGTCAGCACATTTTGGTCATCTCAAGAGTGTATGTCTACACATTTCTCAGTCTACAATACTGCTATTGGTGACCCTCCTTCAAAGTTTTATAGATACTAGATACTCTATATGTGTCATATGTGGCTACGCCAGCACAGTCTGTTCATCTCCGCAGTTTATGTCCACACATTTCTCAGACTACAATACTGCTATTGGTGACCCTCCTTCAAAGTTTTATAGATACTAGATA